GAGCAGGTTACTATGAATGCAGCCGGCCCTGCTCCCCCTCACAGGCAAGCCTATGGAGACACCTGAGTTTGCAGAATAAATAAAACACTACTAACACACATAAGAAGAGCTGTAAAAAAAGGGGGGGGGGCGCCTGGGTGACTCAGTCGGTTAGGCGTCCCACTCTACATGATCTCACAGTTTGTGAGTTCGAGGCCCGCATGGGGCTCTGTGCTGACAGCTCGGAGCCTGGAGCCTGCTTCGGATTCTGTGTCTCATTCTCTCTCTGCCTCTCCCCAACGTGTGCTCTCTCAAAAATAAATACATGTAAAAAAAATTAAGAAGAGCTCAAAAGCCTTAACTATTTTAATAATTGTTTTGGGGGAATTGTAACCAAGATCCTGGCTCTATGTGGACATTTTTATTGGCTGGTATTGTCTCTGGGACAGGGCGCCTGTGGGGGCCAGGAGCTGGGAAGGGGCTCTGGGGCGGGGGTGGGGTGCCACAAGGGGCTGGGAGCCGACATCAAGTCCTCACCTAGAGTGGTGGGCCTTGGACTCCTGTGGAGGGGCCTGAGGGCAGAGAGAGAGAGAGAGAGAGAGCGCGAACGCGCGTGAGTGAGTCGGAGACTATGCTCCAGAGCGGGAGGGACCTCGGTAGGCTGGGGGGAGGCGGGAGGGGCTCAAGGGCCGGGGCTGAGTTCCGAAGGGTTGGGAGGGGCTGGATTGCGACCGAAGCTTGAGGTTGAGAGAATGGCTGGGGCGGGGCTAAGAACGGGGATAGGGGCGGGGCTAAAATCTGGGGACAGGACTAAGAGCTGGGAGTAGGTCTGGAAAGAAACTAGGGATGGGACTGAGGGCTGGGCCTCAGCGGCCAAGCTAGGGTTTAGGCCTGAGAGAAAGGGGAGGTACCAAAATTAAAGGTGGGACAAAAAGGGGCCTGGAAGAGCTGGGAGGCCCCGGATGAAGAGCGCCGTTGAAGTTTAGATTGGGCTAACACAACGCAGAACCGGGGGAAGGTGGAGGGAGGGGTTGGGCAAGCATGAGGCGGAGTTAAGTGCTGGACTGGGGTGAAGCGGAGATTGGGGTTTACGGTTGCCTCGACCAAGCTGAGGTTCAGGATTGGACTTCTGCAAGGAAGAGTCTTGTAGCGAAGAAGAACTGGGCTGAGCGATGTGGGTCAGGACGACACTGACGATTGAAAGGTGGACTAAGGAAAAGGCTAAGGACAATACCAGCGCCTGGGATGAGAACAGCTCTGGTAAGGAAGGGGCGGGGCAGGAGTTTGGGGGTGGGTTTCGAGCTGGGGGCGTGGCACACAAGGAGAGTGTAGAACTGGAAAGAGCCTGGAGAAGGAGGCGGGACCAGAGGCCGGGCTGGGCGGAGTTAGGGCCGGGCCTGGGGGCGGGCTCACGCCGAGCCGCGGACCAATGATTGAGGACTGGGGTGCTGAGGCTCTGGGGAACGCCTGCGGGTTCGTCTGTGCCTGTCTGGCTGGAGCCCGAGCTGCTAACACCGGTTCTGTAGGCTGGAAGGCCTCGCCTTGTCGCAGCCGGGCCCCGGCCGCTGCCTAAGAAATTCGGGGCCTGTCTGGAGCCCTTGGTCCAGCACCCACCCAGTCGCCAGGCTGGGGCAGGAGGTTTCATTGACTCTAAGGGGAGGAAGGAGTCTGGGGGTTCCACGCGTGACATCACAATCGCCTTCAGATGTGGGCGGAGCCGGAGAGGCATTTCCCAGGAGACTGTCCTGCCTTGCTCCCTCCTTCTCCCTTCTTCCTTTCCTTTCTCCCTTTCCCCCACCCTTCCTCCCCCATTCAGCTGCTTTGGTGCCCAACCTGGAACTCCGCCCCACCTGTGCCACAAGGTCAGGGGGAGTTCCTCAGCCCGCAGGACTGAGAAGATTCTGTACAAATGAGCATCACCTGTGAGTTTTGAGTTAGAACCCTGTTCTCCGGATTAATTACCTACCGAGAAAAAGACCACAAGCCTCCCTCTTCCTTTCAAGCTATCACTCTCCTCATTTCATTATGAAGCTCGCTCTGTGTCCCGCCACCATTATTTCTCCTGCAGGAGCGATGGACTGCTGCTTCAGTAGGAGCTCTCATTCTGCCTGTGAAACTAGAGAGCAGATTGCCTTCCTCAGATCTGAGGAGAGTTACTAAACCTCACCCCTTGGCAAAAGGAGTTATGATTGTCAGGGCTTCTTGGGGGTTTGGGAAGAGTTAGTCAGTGGATCCTGTCTACAAGCTTCCTTCATGGTGACTCCGGAGACAGCAAAAACAGTGGAGTCAGATAAAGCAGAATTTGAATCCTGACACTGGCTCAGGTTCCTCTGACTCCTTCCATCTGACCTTAGGGTGGAGGCTGGATATGGGAGGCTGTGAAGTCAGGAATGAGTAAAAACAGAGGATGAAGAATTGGCTGTGTTGGAGCTGGAAAACAGGTGCAGTAGGAAGTGACAGCTAGCAGGATGGGGTTTGGATAGGAACCCCAAGTAGACAGGGCTAAAGAGCACAGGTCATACAGAGCTCTTTCCTCTGCCATCTATTAACTTGTCTTTTTTTTTTTTTAATGTTTTTTTTTTTTAATTTTTATTTTTGAGACAGAGAGAGACAGAGCATGAACGGGGGAGGGTCAGAGAGAGAGGAAGACACAGAATCTGAAGCAGGTTCCAGGCTCTGAGCTGTCAGCACAGAGCCCAACCCGGGGCTCAAACTCACGGACCATGAGATCATGACCTGAGCTGAAATTGGACACTTAACTGACAGAACCACCCAGGCACCCCTATTAACTTGTCTTTGAACAGGCTCCTTCCTGAGTCTCTGAGTCCCCATCCACAGACTGGATTGTGGTGGTGATTTAGAATCAAAAGCAGGGGCACCTGGGTGGCTCAGTCCGTTGAGCGTCCGACTTCAGCTCAGGTCATGATCTCATTCTGTGAGTTCAAGCCCCTCTTCGGGCTCTGTGCTGACAGCTCAGAGCCTGGAGCTTGCTTCTGATTCTGTGTCTCCCTCTCTCTCTGCCCCTCCCCCGCTCATGCTCTGTCTCTCTCTGTCTCAAAAATAAATAAAAACATTAGAATCAAAAGCATATTCTAAAAGCCCAGCACAGTGCGTAACATTGGGAGGAGGCTCATCCTGGGTTAATTCTCTTTTCCTAGAAAAGTCCCTGGCTTCGAACCCTGGGTAGAATCTCCAATGCAGTAGCTTCTTTGTGTGTGGTTCCAATAGTGGGTTTATTCTACTTTACTCATGTATTCTTAAAAAAAAAAGACCAACCCAGTATTTACTGAGCACTTTTCAGAGGCAGATAAAATATGGGTTTGTTCTCAAGTTGCTGTGGAATAACTTGATGAAGTACCATGGCAGGGTAAAGGGTATAAGACATGTGTGACCAATTCTACTTGGATAGCTAGCTTTGTTCTTTCCAAGGTGAACAGGTGTTTCTGGGGAGTGGGAGGCAGGAGAGAAAGAATGGAGAAGGGAGGGGTGGGAGGAAGGATGGATGGGTGAGAGAAACTTGTGACTGAGGAAGGAACCAGGGGCTGGGTCCTGGGGGGCCAGTTATGTCATGATAAGGAGTTTGCACCTCATCCTGAAGGCAGTGGAATGCTGTTAAACAGAAGGAATATAGTGGGCCAATGCCCACTATAGTGCAGGAGGCCCCTGCAGCTGTCTTAGAGATAATGAAGGTTTCAACCAACATAGAGGTAGGTATGGCGAGACTCGGATCATCAAGGTGGTGTGGAGGTGAGGGAAAGAATGATCCTTAGATTCCTAGCTGGGATGCCTATTCCTCTCTGAAATGGAAGAGACAAGAGATGGTTCATGGAAGGTAGGGAGAAGATGATAGGTTCGTGTGGGACATGCCAGCCTAAGAGGTTTGGGGAACGCCCAAGAGGATATTGACCGTGTGCTCAGGAAAAGCAGGCTGGATTGGAGACCCTGATTTGTGTCATTTTATTGGTGGATGTTTATTGGCTTCCCTCTCCTCACCCCTCCCCCAGCCCCTTGAGAGCAGGGACTGTTGGGTGCCTGTTTTAATTTCTGTATCTCCAGGGGGCTGGTGGAGCTTCTCAGGAGATGTTTGAAGAGTGAATGGCTGGTGGGAGGAAAGGGGTGCTGCTGCTGTTGCCACTCTGTACTCTCTCAGATGTAAACAGGTTACCCAGCTGGGAGAGACGACACCTGCTGGCTGGCGTGGCGTCTAGCACTGATGCGTCTACCTTCTCCGAAGGTGGGTTCAGGGAATCTCTGGCCCCAGGCTTCCCCACCACCCCTCACTTGGGAACGCTGACACCCCATGGCAGGCAGGAGGGAGGGAAATGTTTGGTCCAAAAGGGGTCCCTCAGCTGCCCCGTCCCCAGCCCCCATTCCTCACTTCTGCCAGGCAGGGAGGGCCCCTTCCTGGAGGCCACCATCACTCCCCTTTTTTTAAGTTTATTTATTTATTTTAAGACAAAGGGAGGGAGAGAGAGAGAGAGAGAGAGAGAGAGAGAGAATCCAAATTGGCTCTGCACTGTCAGAGCCTGACACAGGCCTTGAACCCATGAACCTTGGGATCATGACCTGAGCCTAAACCAAGAGTCAGACACAACCGACTGAGCCACCCAGGCGCTCCACCCGTCTTTGGCAAAGCACTTTATCATGCACAAATTTCTCTGACATATGTGAACAGAGTCCTCCCAACAATCCTGCAAAATTAGGGATTTCCTCCATCTCCATTTTGTGGATAAGGAAATGAAAGCTGGGAGAGGTTACTTGCCCTAGGACATCCAGCTAGTAAGTGAGGAGCCAAGACTAGTACTCAGGTCTGTCTGACGACAAGTTCAGGGCACTTGCCACTATGCTGCCTCTTGCCCTCAGTCAGCCAGCAGTGCTGAAGAAGGTGGTGGTGGTCTAAGGTCCGGCCTTACATGCCTTATTCCTCCCAGAATGGAGAAGGGGCATGGGAGAAGGACAAAGTGGTGCCATCAAGCGTGTACAGGGGACCTGGGACCTTCATAGCCTGGTGGGGGAAGGGAAAGGTGGAGGAATGTGGGGCAGAGCTCACACCAAGCTGCTGCTCCCTTATCTCCCAAGTACTTTTTTAAAATTTTATTTTTATTTTTTTAATTTTTAAATGTCTTATTTTTGAGAGAGAGAGAGAGAGAGAGACAGAGAGAGAGAGAAAGCTGAGCAGGGGAGGAGCAGAGAGAGACAAGGGGACAGAGGACCCAAAGCAGGCTCTGTGCTGAGACCAGACAGCCCGATGTGGGGCTCGAGCCCATGAACTGTGAGATCATGACCTGAACTGAAGTTGAATGCTTAACCGACTGAGTCACCCAGGTGCCCCTCAAATACTTTTATTTATTTATTTATTTTTCAACGTTTATTTATTTTTGGGACAGAGAGACAGAGCATGAACGGGGGAGGGGCAGAGAGAGAGGGAGACACAGAATCGGAAACAGGCTCCAGGCTCTGAGCCATCAGCCCAGAGCCCGATGCGGGGCTCGAACTCACGGACCACGAGATCGTGACCTGGCTGAAGTCGGACGCTTAACCGACTGCGCCACCCAGGCGCCCCTCAAATACTTTTTTAAAAAAGTTTATTTTGGGGGGCACCTGGGTGGCTCAGTCGGTTAGCTGTCTGGCTTTGGCTCAGGTCATGATCTCACTGTTCCCCAGTTCAAGCCCCACATCAGGCTCTGTGCGGACAGCTCAGAGCCTGGAGCCTGCTTCTGATTCTGTGTCTCCCTCTCTCTGCCCCTCCCCCGCTCATGCTCCGTCTCTCTCAAAAATAATAAAACATTTAAAAATAATGTTTATTTTTGAGAGAGAGATGTGTGTGCAGGAGGGGGAGGGGCAGAGAGAGGGAGAGAGAGAGACTCCCAAGCAGCCTCCATCTGCACTGTCAGCACAGAGCCCAACTCGGGGCTTGATCTCATCAACTGTGAAATCATGACCTGAGCCGAGATCAAGAGCTGGACACTTAACTAACTGACTGAGCCACCGATGTGCCCCTCAAGTATTTTTTTTTTTTATTTTTGAGAGAGCGAGCACACAGGGGAGGGGCAGAGAGAGAAGGGGACAGAGGATTTGAAGCTCTATGCTGACACCAAAGAGCCTGATGGGGGGTCTAACTCACAAAGTATGAGCTGAAGTCAGACCTTAGCCGAATGAGCCACCCAGACACCCCACCCCTCAAGTACCTTTAAGGCTACTTGGACTAACACACCCCCAGGCTGGGTTAACTCCTGGCTGGTGGTCAGGGTGAGGTTTTGTCCTGTTCCACCCCTCGTAGAGGCTAAAGGCTCGGTCCTCCTGGCCTGTATGGAGGGAGTAAGCCAGCCAGAGGACCCCATACCAGCTTGTCCTGGAACTCATCAGTGCCTGCTCACTTCTTCCTCCAGGGGTGGGTGGAGCTGGAGTTCAAGGGGGACCTGCAGGAAGGTACCCTGTCCTCTGTCCTGGTACATGGAGCCACTTGCAGGCTCACCTTTTAGATGGTGGCCTGAGGGAGAGCCATTGGTAGACTGGAGCTTTAGGCGGGGTCAGAGGGGAGGTGGTGGGGGTAGAGGCCGGGAGATTCCAGTGTGTCCAGGGCTTATGTTCGCCTGGGTGAAAGATGTGGAGCTCTTCTCCAGGGCCTTCCCCAAATCCCAAATCCTCACCCCAGCGGCTTCTCCCCTGTGCCCTGGGACCTGTGCTGCGTACAAGAGGTGAAAGGGGTCAGGCTGGGGGCCGGTGTTTTAAGTCTGTGGCTCTGAGGACTGGGAGCGGGAAGAGATGGGATGGGGAATGGGACCTTGATGAGTGTGGAGCAGAGAAAGAATGGAGGGTGAGCATGTGGACAGAGAAGCGAGAAAAGTGAGGAGAGGTGTCGGGGAGGAGAGGCTTGGAGAAGAGGAGGGAAAGCACCAAAGTCAGGAGAGGCTGAGGAGCGGGACCTAATCTGCCTTTCACAGCAGGTCTCGGGGCTGGAGTGACTTCGGGGCTGAGGGGTAGGGGGTGGGTTTCCTGGCCTGTGCAGGACAGGCTGGGGACTCTGAAGGGGTGTTCCTGTCTGCCATGTGGCTCCACAGTCTGCTGGCCCGAGGACCTTCCAAGACCCAGGCAGCCCGTGGAGGGCCCAGGTAGGATAGGCTCCCAGAGGAGGCAGAGAGTGGGAGAGGTGGGTGGCACAGGGCAGCAAGGGGGACTCAGTAAGACATCTTCCTGGGGGTCTGTGGGGGGTGGGGCGCGGGGCACGAGGGCAGACAGGCAGATGGGCGCAGGGGACCTGAGGGGGAAGAAAGGTACATAGTTCCCACTGGAGGGTTACCCGCCTGAAGCAGAAAGCTGCCAGAGGTGGTGGGGTGGCAGCAGGTGCATTTGGTGAAGCCTTTAGATTGAGCTATGGGAGGGGAGACCCAGGGGCATGCTGCTGCCACCGCCCCGGTGTGACCCAGACTCCCACCCCCTCAGGTGAATTCAAGGACCCGGACAGGTGCTGCTGGAAACACAAACAGTGCACCGGGCACATCATCCACCCCTTCACCCCTGACTGTGGCCACTGTAGCCTGCACCTGCACTCTGTCAGCCACTGCGACTGTGATTCTAGGTAAGGGCCCTCCTTTTTGGGGGGCCCAGAGCCCAGGACAGACTCCTGGGCAGAGCCAGGCCCAAACTTCCCGTTTCCCCGCTTCAGCTCTAACCTGGCACTGCCAGCCCAGCCCCGACTTTGTAAACCTTGCTCTGCTCCAGAGCGATGGGAAGGTCTCTGGGCAGCCGGGGCTGAGCCGGGCAGAAGCCAGCTGTCCCTCAGGCTCCTCCCTCCGGGCCCCCGGGGGATCATGGAGGCCTGGGAGCCACGCTGAGTCCTCTGTGTGGCAGGGTGAAGGACTGCTCAGAGAAGGCAAACAGCAGCAGCTCCCGAGACGTAGGCCCAACCTGCTCCCGAGATGTGGGCTCAACATGTTTAAACATTATCCAGTCCCCTTGCTTTGAGCTCATCCCAGAGGAAGAGTGTGTGCAGCGGTTCTGGTATGGCTGGTGAGTGCCAACAGGCTGACAGGGGCGGCACTAAGGGGCACCAGCCCCCCCCCCCCCCCCCCACTCTGTGACAATCTTCTCTTTCCCTGTCCCCCTCCCTCCCAGGTGCAAAAGCTATAGGCCTGTCTCTGTGGCAGTGATCCACCATCCCATCCACCATGACTGTGGGGCAGATGATCTGAATGAAGAGGAGGAGGAGGAGGAGGAGGAGGAGGAGGAGGAGGGAAGCAAGCCTCCCATCCCGACCCAGGTGGGGCCCGCCACCACACCCGCTGACACAGGCATGGGTGCAGTCACAGGTACCCCGGACTCAGCAGCTCCCATCACTATCTGGCGCTCTGAGAGCCCCACAGGGAAGTCCCAGGGCAATAAAGTGATCAAGAAGGTAAAGAAGAAAAAAGAAAAAGAGAAAGACAAGGAGGAGGAGACAGATGAGAAGGCAAAGCTGAAGAAAAAAGCCAAGAAGAGCAAACTGATTAAGAAGAAAAGCCCAGTTAAATCAGAATCTCCACCTCCAGACTTGACCCGATCAATAAGCCCAAGAGAGTTGGCCCGGATGTCAGAGTCCAGCCCAGACAGCCGGGAAGACCTGGAGAGTGAGGACAGTTACAATGACCCCAGGCGGGAGGAACCCTCCAGCGAGGATATTGTGGAGTCTTCATTGCCCAGGAAGAGAGAGAACACGGCCCAGGCTAAGAAACCCAGGGCGAAGGCCTCACCAGTCAAGAAGGTCAAGAGGAAATCTCCCCCAGCATCAAACCCCAATCTCAGTTGAGGCCAGGGCATCCAGGGTGAAGAATAAATGAGATCAAGCCTGTAGGTGACCCCCTGCTGCTATTCTCTCTCCCTCCAACCTGTCACTTCTGTGGGGAGGGTGCGGGTTCTGGACACAGCTGGAGCCGAGGGGTCAGGGGGCTGCAGGAGTTTCTGAAGGGTAATCTATCTTTCAGGAGGCAGTCCATGGGAAGGCAGGAGGGACGGCAAGGGAGGGGCACAGCCTGCTTCTCTGTAACATCCTAGGCTCAGGGCAAGAGAGGAGCACACCTGGGTGGGGTGGGAAGGAGGCGTCCCATCTCCTGGGAGACTGGTCTGTGTGAAATCCACCCGGGGACAGGCAGTACTGTCTGCAGTGATAGCCCTAATAAACTGAACCTTTTAACCCACTCTGTGCCACTGTTTCTGGCCTTTCCCTCCTCTAAGTGGCCCTTAGGAGGATGCTGGTAACACCAAAGGGAACATGATCTTCCCAGCTCGTGCTCCTGCCAGGCCCTTCTAGACCTCTGTGCTGAAGGGAATAGAACTGAGTTCCTGGCAGAAGACCAGCCCTTCCCTCCCAACTCTTGCCAACAGCCAAAGAGATCTTGAATGACAGGATGAAGTCAAGACGGGAAGCTCACCAAGTGTGGGCAGCAGTGACCTTTTCTGATTTCTCTGCTGAGCCCCAAATAGAGGAAAAGGGAGGGGGAGAACCTCACTTTCTTAGCACCAACTTGCAAAGCTAGGAGAGGAGGCCCTTCTGAAGGAACACAGGAGACCAGGAGTCTGGAACAAAAAGAGGCAGTGAGGCAGGGGGAAGGGGCCAGGGCCAGGGTGTTGGCCGGTCCCAAGCAGGGAAGGCGGGGCAGGGACTGGCTTCCCCCACAACATCCCAGCACTTCCCTTTCCAGGGCGTGCGGGTGTGGTAGCAGGCGAGCATGGGGCCCATCCTGGGGCAGACATACTGGACTTGTGCAGAGGTACTATCGGAGACTGAGGCTCAGCTGGCAAAAAGAGTGAGGTAAGAGGTACAGGGGCTCAAGCTGAGAAGGGCCAAATTTACTCATGGCCCTTCCTTGCTGTGCCAGAGAAGGCTAGTGGGCAAGCAGATGGGGCGGGTGTGTGAGAGCGTAGGGACAGCGGCTAACGTGTACAGAGGACTGATGAGGTCCCAGGCCTCCCCTTGGCAGAGCGCTTTCACACATTCTCTGCCTCTGCAGCTGCCCCAGGGAGGCAGATGAGGCAGGTCTCGCTAGCTTCACCATACAGAGGAGATGGCTGGCTCGAGGACAACAGGAGTTCCCTCGGTTCCCTCAGGGCACAGGGCACAGGGCTGGGAAGTGGAGCACGGCTTTGGCCCTGGGCGGTCAGATACAGAAGCTGCCTGCTGTTGAGTCACTGCCTCTCTGGTGGCCTGGAAGAACCAGGGGGAGCTGTCAGAGCTCCAAACCCAGCTTGGAAAGCCACCCTTCAAGAGCCGGAGCGTTGGAGAGAGAGGCTTTGCCAAATGCTCTGTAGAAACACTGTTTATTCAAATGACAGGCAGGAAGCGGAGGCAGCAGCAGGTGGGTGAAGGCGGCCAGGCGGGGGCTGAGCAGGTTAGCACTGCTCCCGTGTCCCCTGCAATTCTGCTTTGATAGCCACCCAAGCTGTTGGCATCTGGGTCAGAAACACCTTCCCTCCTCTCCCTCCTGCCCGAAACTGAATAAATAGCATTCCTCTCCCCACAAGAGCTGGGGGAGACTCATGTGCTGAGCTTGGTGCCCCGGGGTCACAGCCCAGAGTCAGGTGAGGGCAGAAGCTCAAAAATGGCTTGTAGGGAGAATACAAAACTGTTCCACTCTCATTCTCGTCTTCCTCTTCTTCCTCCCCGCCACACTCCCCGCCCAGCCTGGTCCCAGAACAGGTGGTCGGTGAGGGCCTGGAGTGGGAGAATTGTCGCCTAGCTTACACTGAGCTCAAATTCCCAAGGCCATCCAGCTTGTCACCCATCCAGGCTGACCACCAGAGAGAACGTCAACTCACGCCACTTTATGGACAGAAAAGGCGGGACAGGGAGTGAGGCAGTGGGCGGCCGGGCTCTCCCAGCCTCAGAGGTAACCAGAGTCCTAGGAGCAGGCCCCCTACCGGTCCATCTCGTCCAGGAGCGGGGTGGCATCGCCAGCAATGGACATGGGGGTGCTTTCGATCATGGGGCTGGGAGAGGGCCGAGGTGTTAGCCTCTGCTTCTGTTTCCGCCGCTCCGCTTCCTTCTCCTGTAGCCACTGCTCTGCCATCTTCCCCCAGTCGATGGCTGCATGGCTGTTGGACCTGGGAGGGAGAAGGGGCCTCTGAGATCAGGAATCTCTGGGGCCTCACACAGGAACGAAGCCTTCCCACCAAACGCTGCTGATCGTCCATCTTTACAGAAATGGACCTGTTTTTTGTCACATCACCTTCTTCTGTCTTTTCCCAGAAAGTGGTCATTCAGGAGACATTGCTTGGGTCACGGCTTTCACAAGGTCCAAGCAACCTGCTTATGTTGAACTGCTTGGCCTCTTGACAACACCTGCCCCTAATAACCTGCTCTGTGCCACAAACCGCATACTTACTTTGGCTGCTGCTGCCGTTGCCGAGAGCTGGAGGAGGGCTGGGGCTGGGCCTGGGCAGACTGTGGGGTGGTGCTGGCCTGTAGCTGGTGGTACTGTGGTGTGGTGATGGGCTGGCTTGGGGTTGTGTAGGAGTAGCTGGGGGTCATTAGTGGTGTGGCCACTGGCTGCTGGGCTGGCGTTGGGAACACCTGGAGAAGGGTGAATAGTTAAATGGGGATGGGTTTGGGGCTTATTTGGCCTTGCTATGAACTTCTGGCAAGCTGAAAACCAGGGCTCAGCACCGAGCTTTCTAGCTGACCATCTCTTGAGCAATGTGTGGTCCCAAGTGGCAGAGAGAGGCCAGCAGGATGGGACCTGGCACAACAGGGCCCGCCAGTGTGGACCACTTAAGGGTTCCAAAGATCCCAAAGGACCATGGAAAAATCAGACTTTTTCTTACTCCCTCTACCCTCAAGAGGGCCCAAAGAAAAGGAACATGTGTTGGAGACCATTCCTAAGGCTGTGGTGGCCCCATCTGTACATATGAAGCCCCGTGGGGTAGACACCGCCAGAGGGCAGTCTATGTACACAGGTTGGCAAAGGATGAATGTTCCCTTTTGCTCTTCTCCACCCTCTGCAGGGAGCCTTGTCCCCAAGCCACGTACGTGGTAAGCGCTGCTGCCCCCTCCACTGCCACCATAGCCATACTGGCTCGAGGCCCACTGGGCTGGCGTGGCATTGGGGTTCTGTCCTTGGCCTGTCACGGCTGCGATGGCACTGAACATCTGCGAGGTCATGTTCTGAGGCAGGGCATTCACAGCCCGTGTCAGATCTGTAGGCACACAGAGGTGGGAGATGGGCACGTTAGAGGTCAAAGTCTTCTAGTGCCATCCCTCCAGCTCCCAGTCTCAGACATGAGCTCACCTGCAAGGTTGATATTGGCTGGGGTGGCATTGATAGAAGCAGGTGTCCGGGTCCTACTGCTGCTACTGGGGGTGATGCCTGTAGGAAACGGCCAAAGTTAGTTATGTCCCTCCAGAAACCTGTTTCTGTTTTCACCATGAAGGGGGCTGGAGGAGGTCCTGAAGTGGGTGGAAAGAAGGGAAGCTGCATCAGCAAAGCGGATGGAGGACCTCCTTGATGCTAGGAGCCTGGAGCAGGAGTGAGACAGCTTCAGTGACAGCCCGGGCCTCGTCCTTTCCACCGGTGGCTAGTGATCACCTTGATTCAGGACCTTCGTGTCCCTCTAAGCACATCCCAGAACTCAGAACAGAACTCACCTGGTACAGGATCCTGGTAGTGATCCTTAAACCATCGGAAAAGTCCGTTCACAGTAGGGAAGATTTGGCCCCGGTACCGGAATCCTTCTGGAGTCACTGTTACGTATTCTATCCTGGGATTTTGGAAGGAAACCTGTGTCAGAGACCACTTGGGGCCAGCTGTGAGAGAGCGGCCAGAACAGATCTCCACCATGTGAAGTAGCCAAAGTGGGTGCTGGGGGGAAAGGAGAGATGAAACAGCCCTGACCCTGTCAAAGGAGGCTGCACTGTGAGGAGGTGACACAGTCAAGGCCAGGAGTCGGCAGCCCTGGTGTGACAGGTACAGGCCATCAGAAGAAGGCCTGCTGGGGGCTGGGCCACCATCCTGGGGTGCAGTGTGATGGCAGCACACTGCAGGTGGTGGCAGGAGTTGAGGCCACAGTGTCAGGGCTGTTGTCCTGCTGTCTCCCCCTGCGCTGGAATCTGGAAATACCAGTTAAGGTGGTTAGTCTGACCTTACTCGACACTGCAGGGCAGAGAGTAGATAAGACGATGGGCTCTGGGTTCAGACCAGTTCTACTTGCAGTTTTGGCTGTCACTCACTACCTATATGACTTTATGTGAAGTCACTAAACCTGAATCTCAGCTTCACTTGAAAAACAAAGGCAACAGCACTTAAACCTACAGAACTGTGTGTGAGGAATAAATGAGACAGCATGTATGAGGCACTTAGCACAACACCTAAGATAGGGTTCTGTTCAATAAAGGACAGCTGTCAATTACCAACAGACAATGACAAATATTGGAAAGTTCTCATTTATGTTAAGTTGAACCCTGCTTTCTAAATCATCTATCAAGTGTCATTAATGCTGCGACACAAGGAGTCTACACACCTTTCTACGGGAAGTGATTGCATTGCCTCTACTTCCTCGTTTAAAGATCCCTCGTTTGCTCAACTTCCTCGTGGGATGGTGTCCAGCCAACAGCCCTGGCTGCCATCCTCTGGAAGCATGATGGTGAATCAGAAATGGCTTCTCAGAAACGACAACAATATTCTACATGTGCCCAAGACAGTGCAGGGTCTGGAGTCCAGAGCTTCTTGTCACCCAGCCACTGAGCCCAGACTAACATAGTCTATGCTGTTTATCTTGCACAGGCAGTATAGGGATACGAGCAGAAACTCACTGGCCTTGGCCACGAGCCGAAGGGAAGGTGGGGGCGTAGAGAAGACAGATACGATTATCAGTCTGGGTAACAGACAAAAGGAAAGCAGATCCCAAAAAATGAGACTTTGATTCAGAGTGAGCTCTAGAGGGATCCAGACAAAGGCATGTCTAGGAAGGCCAGCCTGTTAGCCACACATAGAAGGGAGCAGAAGGGTCAATGATAGGAAGGAGAGAAGCTCTCCTGACCCACCCCTTCAGTGCAGGCAGAAATTATTCGGCACACCACAGCAACAGTGAGCCAACTTGTGTCGAACCTCCTGGTGAGGGGGAAGCAGAGAGTGAGGACAGACCTGTGTCCTGGCCCTCATCTTTGCCAGTCAGGTGGAGAGTGTCTGGTAATTTCCATCACTCT